CTAGATTCAATTCCTACCTCTACCCATTATTTACCAGCAGTGTGATTTAGTTGAGATGACTGATTTCTTTCTATCTTTGTTTGTAAACTGAGGTTGTATGAATCTTGGAGGATTATAACTAGTTTTAATCAACTCATTAAAATACTGCATGTGACATCATGGCCATTTCATGTTAATAATTCAAGAGTGGCAGTTCTTATCATTAACCATAACTCCATGAACTGACCAATCCTGAGTGTCTTCAGCTCATGAGCAAACCACAGTGTGTGGCAGTCTGGCAGTGAAGTAAGGCGGTAGACAGAGTACAAGTCCTCCTGGCTCCCTGCCCTCCTTCCAAATGCCCCTGGGGAAGAGTTCCCCACCTGGCTTCCTTGTCCTGGAGACACCTCTACCTTGTGCATGTGGATATGAATACAGGCTCGCTCAATTTTGAGCACACTGCTAGTTATTTCTGTCTGCTTCCTTCTGAGCTCTTCAGACTGAAGAGCACCATACCCAGCTATTTCATAAAATGAAGGCTTGTTGCATAAATATCACCAATATTTCTATTATCACCATGCTCTGTTGTAAATTAAGGATAAAGTAATAGATTCAAACAGTTTTATATAATATTTATATGAATATTAGATCAGGTTAACATTTAAGGTCTAGTCAAATCAATCCGTTTTCCACTAGATGGCAGACCTTGTTAATAAGTTCTAGCAAAGAAAAGAAAGGGAAAAAAAGTGGTGAGTCTCCCAAAGTTGACCAATAGGTGTCTCTTTGCAACCACATATTCCTGAATGGTTATATATATATATATATATATATATATATATATAGTCTTTCTCACTCATCTTACAGATAAGATCATCACCACTTTCCACAAAGTACAAACAGAACATTGAGGAAAAAGACATCATTCGTGGTCTAGGATGCACTAGCCATATTACATATTATATCCACACAAAGGGAGATGAGATTGCATAAAACATAACCAGGAATATGTTTCTAAATACAAGTAATTTGGCAGAAAACAGATCTTTGTTAACAAAAACAGAGCTTATTAAAATCCTGTTCTCAAGTCAGACAAGGCTCTTTGTTTGAAGAACTCTTAAATATTCACTAGACATATGTAATGGCACTAACTGAGCTAAGAGCATCAAACTTAACTCCAGAAAGATTCATGGAACTAATGGCTACTGGCCTGGTGAAAACACACAGGAAATAATAGAAATTTCTAAGCAGCAGAGAATATACTGGCATCACTTTGATTACTATTCTTTTTCACCAGTTTATTCAGTTTATACACACACGTGCCAATTCTGCGCTACTTGTATCTTTGAGTACTTGCTTATGTTTATTGAAGGTATAGGTGAGTTCCATCAAGAACATCAGAGAAATGAGACTCCTCCCATGAAGCTCAGAATATGCAGTCAGAATCCTATGCTTACTCTCATGAATTTGCCTTCTTTATTGGAAAATAATTTGCCTCTAGTCATTCCAAAAGAAATTATAGATAAATATTAAACATAATTTATAGATAGAGGAGCACTGGTACTAAAAAAAATCTTGCTTTCTGTTACTTTAGGGAACGGTTTGTTTTACCTGAGACTCAGTTAAATTACAATTTAGAAATATAAATATATATCCATATTCTCATATAGAAACATATGTGTACAAAACCACAAATGGTGTCATCTTTGTCATTCAAACTTCAGTTACTATAATGAACCTTTGTTCTTATCTAACCAGCTTTTTAAATTAGTAAAATATTATAATATGCTCCTGATATCATAGCCAAACCAAGGGAGTTAACTCCTCCACCTGTCTCCAGGGATAATTGTGTCACCACTGAAATTAGGAATAGGGAGGATCACTAAATGGCAGAGCAGAGCACCAGATGGCATTTTCTGCCTCTTCCCAGCTGCAGCATTTCTGCGAGTGCTAATCTGACTCCATATCCTACACCTGGCAGTCAACACGCAAACTGTTTTCAACGTATCTGAAATACCTAAATGTGCCTAAATCTCTGTGCAAAGTAAATGAATCCGCGGAGCATTCCAAAACCTCATGAATCCAATGTATTTCCCCTTGTAGCAGGGCAAAAATGCATCTTTCATTTAAAAAATTTAAATTTAAATTTTAAAAAACGGAGAAGACTGGATCCAGAAGAAACCCGATGGGTCCGTAGAAGCTGTGAGGAAAGTCCCACATCTTTAATTTGCAGTGTTTTCCAAAGTCATCTTGGCTCATTTTTTTTTTTTTTTTCAGAAAACAGGTGAAATAAGAGACTGTCAGATATGTCATATCAGTCACATCATGGGATTTAAACTTCTAGGGTCTGAGCTGACACTGGATCAGTTCCACAAAGACAGTGCTGGAAAGTCTGAGCCAGTGGCTCTTAAGCCTGGGGAGTATTTTTAAGCCCCACTATAAAAGGTCACCAAGTTTTTCACTTTTTCCTACGTCACACCAAACCGGTTAGAGCCCGGACTTCCGCTATTGTACAGGGCCTGTACCCCTCAGCCTCATTCTGCCTGAGCTGTATCTCAGCCTTAGTGCCTCTTTTTCAGGCACAAGTACTCCTGCTTATCTAATTGTGTAACATTAGTTTCTAAACAATCTAGAACTGATTCTTTGGGTTAGCAAAACTCACTTGTACTAATTTTGTTCATTGTGGGTTTTTTTGTAAATCATGGATTGTCTTTCATTTGACTCCAAAATGAAACATTTAATATCTCATGTCATTGCCTGGGCAAAGATTTCTGCCCCTGGGCTAGAGAGAATCTTTTAGTCAATGACCAAAGCCAGCTCTTCCACATGGGCCTCTGGCTGGTAGGCGAGGAAGCCAGTCTTGTCTTAGCAGAGTCCGCACAGCTGGCCGTTGGGTGTGCCCTGGACTTTGCTCCTTGGGTTTTTACTGCAGTGTTTCAGAGCCAAGTGCCCTCCGAGGTGTCTGAGCCGAGTACCTGTTTTGTCTGACTCAGGATATCAGCGTGCAAACCCTTCCTCCTCTGACAGCACGGCAGACCTCACACGGGTGACAAGTTAGCACGCGTACTGGTGTAACGGCATGCCACATGCACAGTGCTGGGCACCCTCTGCTCCTTGTAGTAGGTGGGGAAACATATCTTGACTCTGATTTGTGGAGTATGTCCCATCCTCAGTACCTATGGAGGGACCTCGGTATAAAGATTTTTTTTCAAGCTTAGTGAATTATTACTAACATTTTTCAACTAGACCATAAAAACATATATCAGTAGATCTTCTTTTATGTAATAACTTCTAGCAAATACATATATGCAATCATGAAATAGGGAAATTAATGCCCATGGCAACTTATGTTTACCCAACTATCTCATATCTCTAACAATATGTGTGTGTTCACAGGACACGATGGAGAGAGGTAAGGAGGTCTCTATTTCTAATAAGCAGGTGCCTAAGTCTGAACAAAGTCTCATGAAAAGTAACTCTGGCTGTGATTTATATTCTAGATTATCGTCTATGAAGAAACCTAATGTGTATTCATATTTTTCTGTTTCCCGCAAATACAGTTCCTTTAACGTAAGGATTCTTCTACATTCCTTCCTCTGTTTAACATTTAAATCAGTAACTGTTGGAAAAGGAGGAATCATTGGAATTAGCTCAGGAAGCCTTCCAAGGCCCCCTTCCCACCCGACCAACACACACACACACACACACACACACACACACACACACACACACACGTTTTCTCATCCCAAGATTAAGAAGCTATGCAGTCTGACAACGCACTTTTCTTTTACAAGTCTTGACACCACCTCTGTTATTTTCCTTTCCTCTTTTGTCCAGCATATGTTAGAAATAAAAGCAGGGTGGCCTTCGTGCAGATTTCTTCTTCCCTTTTTCTTTGAGAAAGAGATGGGAGAGTGAAAATGGTGCTTGAAAATCTTAGTTTTAAGATGAACCACTTTACAGGATTCTTAGAGTTAATCCTATATACAAATTCTAAGTACTTTTGCTGGTTACTAGGTTGTCTTCTTGCTAGTTTAACCAACTAGCATGTTCATGTATAAAGATCTTTTTTTAATGCAGTACAGGAAACTGGCAGATTGTGGGAGGGGGTTTCATAACTTCATGCTAAAAAGAAGACACCAATCGAAAGCAGATAAATGTTAAAAAGCAGTCCTTTCGCTGATGACATAATTTTTATTAAAGTACTCCGGGCCACATGAAAGGGTAAGAACTCTTATTGAAAGTGCTTGTAAGAAAACGCCCCACGGTTCCTAATGACAGTTCCCCTGCTGTTTCCCCATCAGCCTCCTTTTGTATGTTTGCCGTTTTCCAGTTCCTCGGATAAGCAGTTCTTTCACAGGCTACAAGGCGTCTCTTTCAAGCCACCATGGCTAATATGGTGAGAAGATTACTCAATTTCCACGAGGAGGCGCCGCCTGTGGCTGCGCCGGAGCCTGGACACCCGCAGAGGCCGGGCGCCCGCGGCGCGCTGGACCCTCGGGGCGGCCCCGGGGCGCACGCTCCCCCGCGCCGGCCCCTTTGTCCCCGGCTTCTGCCTCGCTTTAGCAAAAGCCCTGGGCTCATGATTTGGTCCGTTTGCAAATCAAAAAACCTCCCCAAATGCCACTTCCAAATATAGGCTCCCCTGTCGCCAGAGGCCGGCCAGGGTCTCGGGGTGGCCTTGCCTTCCTGGGGCAGCCGTTCAGCCCTGTGCATGCCCGGGGTGCACATCTGGAAGCCAGGCTCGGATCACACTCAGCCCCTGCTAGCCATCGAGGCCTCAGAGAGCGCCAATCACCGGCCCGGCTAAGTGAAATAACCTTCCCCTGAAAATACTTAAAACATTTCTTTTGCTCTCCTCTGAAAAGCCAAGAAACAGCCCATTTGAACCAGCATAATTTAGTCTGACAACAGATTCTTCCTCTGTTCACAGCTGTCCCAGAGGGAGGAGCTGAAATCTGAAGCCCTCTGCTGTGATTGGAGCCTGCTTGCAAAAGCTAGGGAAAAAACCCCTCCCAGCCAGAACGGGCTCAGTTGCTAAAGGAGCCGGGCGACTTCAGAGGCGCCGGCGCCACCGCCTGCCGCACCTGAGCGGCCCTCGCCAGCCCGGCCGGCCGCGATGCTGTAGGGCCCGGCCGCGTCTTCCCGCCGGACCGTTATCCGCGCCCGCCAGACCCGCCGGCACCATGCCGCGCTCCTTCCTGGTCAAGAAGCATTTCAACGCCTCCAAAAAGCCAAACTACAGCGAACTGGACACCCACACAGGTAAGGGAAAAATTATAAGTGTGTCTGCAGCTGTGCAGCCGCGGATCTGCAAATCTAGATCTGTAGGTGACTCCTCAGCTACCCCTGCCAGAGAGCAGAGGACTAAACTGTTCGCCTTCCTTCCACGGCCCAGAGAGAGCGTGTTATAGGCTGCTGAGCGTTTGGGGGCAGGTTTTAATTCAAAACTTTTGGAAGTGTTAACTGGCTCGGAAAACCTCATTCAGCTCTTGCAGCCTGGCCTTCGGAGGCTTGTTTATACATGCATAATGATTATGTGGAAGGCGAGCAGCAACATACTAAATGGTGATTTCTTTTTCCCAGTGCAGTAAAGTTCTTTTCCTTTGGAAGGCAGTTTGATCTACCCGTATCATTGCACCCACAGTCACAACACAAGTAAACAGCCCGTGCATAAAATGGAAACAACTTTTCTGTGTGTTTGCAAATGATGTCTACTTGTGTCTCTGAGCCGGGTCAGTAAGGGCACTCTGAGAGCTGCTCTCCCAGGTGGCCGGAGCAGCTGTCAGACTGTGTGTGCGTTCGGCACCATAGCTGCAGATTTATAGATATGTACGTCTCCTAGGGCTGTCTATCTTCTTCATTATAAAGTCCTGTGTGTTGCCAAGTATTTTCTCATTGTGCGTGTTTTTAGATATGCTCACTTTAATCTTCTTTCCTTTCCTTTTCTTTTCCTCAGTGATCATTTCCCCATATCTGTATGAGAGTTACCCCATGCCTGTCATACCAAAACCAGAGATCCTCAGCTCGGGAGCATACAGCCCCATTACCATGTGGACTACGGCAGCTCCATTCCATTCCCCACTGCCCAGTGGCCTCTCTCCTCTTTCCGGATACCCTTCCTCCTTGGGGCGAGTGAGTCCCCCTCCTCCATCTGACACCTCATCCAAGGACCACAGTGGCTCAGAAAGCCCCATTAGTGACGAAGAGGAAAGACTACAATCCAAGCTTTCAGACCCCCATGCCATTGAAGCTGAAAAGTTTCAGTGCAATTTATGCAATAAGACGTATTCAACTTTTTCTGGGCTAGCCAAGCATAAGCAGCTGCACTGTGATGCCCAATCTAGGAAATCTTTCAGCTGTAAATACTGTGACAAGGAATACGTGAGCCTGGGTGCCCTTAAGATGCACATTCGGACCCACACATTACCTTGTGTTTGCAAGATTTGTGGCAAGGCGTTCTCCAGACCCTGGTTGCTTCAAGGACACATTAGAACTCACACAGGTAAGTGAAAAATCTAGACCAGAATGTTGCTCTTTGATAGAATAATGGTATGGGCTGGTTGTCAGTTTTGCATGGAGTAGTGACAGTGTTTTTCCTGATGGTCGCTCACTGAAGGAACTTCCTGACTACTCAAAACTTGCTAAAGCACAGAGTGCTCCATTTCTTGTTAACAACCTCTGCTCCAGTGACTGCAAACAGCGTTTAGACTTTGGAAAGTAGATTCAGGAGGTTTGGTCTCAAAGATCAGTCAGAAAATCAGGAAAGATGTGCTTGATCCTGTGTTCTTTGAAACTGCCCCTAGTAATCAGCAAATACAAATGTTGCTCTCCTAATCAATTGATTTGGTAAATAGATGAAGGCCTTTCCTATAGCTTTTCTGTCAATTACATTCTGGCTGTAAAATCTGTCACTGCTGAGTGAGTCGTATAGCTGGAATTGAATTTTTTTCGTGCCTTTGTTTCTTTATCTTTTTTCTTTTGCTGCTAAATTTTTTTATTCTTAGCACAGAATCCTCCTGCGGGGAGTGAAGGTGTTTCTACAGCCTAAACCATGGTACAGAAAGAGAGAAAAGGGGAAATATTGGGAAATGTTGGGAGGTGCTCAAATTAGCTGCACCTGCTCAAGCAGAAAGCCTTAGTAAGTGAAAGTCCTAAAACTACATGAATTACTTCTGTGTGACTGGCAGCAGGAATACTATTCTGGCTAATTTTTTAAATGCAGAATTTATCTTAAAGGGCCAGATATTGACATTCATATCTTTTATGGGGAATCTGATCATATTTTATACTCCTCGTCCTGCTGGCAAACTGTGGTGGATGTTTATTTGCATTATGTGATGTTGTGCTTCTTCTAAAGCTGCTCTCTCTTTTTTTCATCCCCTCCCCCCACCCCCAGGGGAAAAGCCTTTTTCTTGCCCGCACTGCAACAGGGCATTTGCAGACAGGTCGAACCTGAGGGCTCATCTGCAAACCCATTCTGATGTAAAGAAATACCAGTGCAAAAACTGCTCCAAAACCTTCTCCAGAATGTCTCTCCTGCACAAACATGAGGAATCTGGCTGCTGTGTAGCACACTGAGTGACGCAATCAATGTTTACTCGAACAGAATGCATTTCTTCACTCCGACGCCAAAAGACAAATAAAAGTCCAAAGGCATTTTCTCTTGTGCTTACCAACCAAATAATGTGTATAGACACACACGTACACACATGTACCACACACATGCACACACACACACACACACACACACACACACACACACATGCAGACACACTGAAAGCTGCAAGAGCATGGAATCCTTTAAAGTTAAAGTTAATCCTTTCCATGTGAAGTTTAAAATTACTATATTTTTACTGACAGTTAGATTGACAGGATAAAAGACAAGGACCTTTCTCTTCAAAGATGAAGCAAAAAGCACATTGCATCTTTTATTACTGAGAAAGAATGCAAAGATTTTCATTGTTGCCAAATCATTTCAACTGAGAAGAACAGTATTGCTCTGTTAAAACAGATAGTTTTAATAGAATTTCCTATAGGAAGAGAATCTGCCGATGGGATCTCAGGTGCCTTATAAAGTATTCCAAGTTTACTTCATTGCTTGTCTGATGTCAGGTTGACATCTTTGAATTAAAGCCTTTTGTGGATTATCAGCAATGCTTTAAACTGTATTTTTAAAGACAAGGGAAAAAATAACACGAACAAAACACAGGAGAATGTATTAAAAGTATTTTTTTGTTCTGTTCTGTTTTGTTTTGTTTTTGCCAATATGTGCCTTGGGAGAAGAGGGAAACTCTAGCTTTGAACATTCCTGGTGCATGTTACGTGTCTTACTTTTTAAAAGAATTTTAATGATTTTTCTAAAATTAAGTAAAGATGGGAATACGTGCAAAAGAGAATTCTTAGAAACCCAGTAATGGACTTAAACTATTTTAAATGCATACGACAGATGCAATAATGCAACACCCCTTCCAAGTGCCTTTTTTAATTAATTGTATAGTTGATGAGTCGGTGTAAATTTGTGTTTATTTTTATATGATTGAATGAGTTTTGTATGAAAGTGAGGTGTTGTTTATAGCTATGCCTATATACAACCTGAAGACTTATGAAATCAATGTTTCTTTTTTAAAAATAATTTTCTAGGTCCTTTTTTATAATAAACATTTTTTGATTTAAAATTTATTGCATGTATACTATTTTTGAAGACTTTACTTGCTTGTGATTTGTACTAAATGGCTATACAAAGAATTTTTTCTTATGTTAATGAGAAAAAAGTAAAGTGTTTATTTTATGTATCAGGTGTTCTTTTGATGTGTTAGATTACAATAAATTGTCAGGATTTTTACTCTTACAAGATAGTATTGTCACATTTAGAAAAGTCACCATTATGACAGTACTGTGTTAGCATTTCTCTGTAACAAAAATTATACTTTCTGAATGCTAAAATAGCTAAAGATGAATGATCCAAAATACTTTAGCAAACTTTATTTGGGTTGACTTTATGAAAGCAGATTATATTGTCATATAAACTGGAACAGTTTGGGGTTTTTAGAAGAAATATTAATGAGATGTAAGAGGGGGGAAAAGAAAAGTTGACATAGAAAATTAGGAAAAAATAGATTTACGCAAGGTGGAAATTTAAACCATGCGAATAAATTCCAAACTTAGTGATATATTTCATGGGATCAGGGATAATTAGTGAAAATTGGTGTCATTTTACACTGTTTGTATAAGTTGAGCGAACCATGTACCCAAATCCAATATTTATGTAGCTGATAAAATATGACTATCCACTTCAAATTCAAGTTCATGTTTGCTAAATTCATACATATTAATATGCAGAACTCTAAACCATGAAATGAGCTGTGTAATTACCAGTGTGTCTATTTGCATCCAAACCCAGTAAGAAGATAGTTCCTTATATGGTTAATCATTTTTCTCTTGTATGATTAGAACTTGCGGAATCATGTTTTTCCTTTTAATGTCCTTACAATGGAAACAAAAATGGAAACTGAAGATAGGCTATTTATACGGGACCAATAATAAATACCAATACTATTCCCTTAACGTTCACATTAATTCCGGTATATGTTACATTTTCATTTTTCAGTCTATACAAACTGGTTTTGTATTTAACTAAAAAAATCTTTAAATTTAATATTTTAATGTTTTGATATTTCAGGAGCAAAATTATTTTAAATAACAATTGCTTTATGGAAAGAAAGAAGAAGCTGGTAGCTTGACAAGAGATTCTAAACTTAGGAAAAAGACCAACTGAGTTAATGTATACAGATAATTGCCAATAATTATCTGAAAGTTTGCAGGCCAGCTGACACATAGAATATCTTGCAGAGGAAGTCTGTGGATAAGTTGGGTGTTCCAGGGTCCTCTGGTTGGCCACCACATGAACCACTTCTGCTCTCTTTTTTCTCCCTTATTGTAGATCTACAGGCAAAATCTACTGATGTTCAAAATGCAAACAATTAACTTTCCAGAAGGAAAAATCTGTTAAAAGTTGTTCAGTTTCTTAGTGAAAAACTCATTTTTTATGGTATCAACTATGTTCCCACTATTCTAATTTCATTCTTAGTTAAAATACTTTCATTTCGGTAGGGTATCATGAGTCAGAACTAACGTACATCACATATAGAGATGATCTATGAATACACCTCTTGTAGAATTGCAAAAATTATAACTATGGTCATTGGCTGGGTGTCTGCTTTCTTAAAACAGCTGAATGACCTAACTCTAATGTAAGTTTCCCTGAATTCTTTTCTCAAATTTGCCACCTATGGGCACTTTATACTATTTAGATAACAGTACTTATCATATGACAATCTTTTGTTGATATCCTTCTTTTTCGTTAGATAGAACATCCTCAAAGCAGAAATTTTTATTGTATCATACACATCGCTTGCTCAACAGTTCAACAAATGTTGACTGAATGAATGAAATAAAAGAAGTCCATGAAAAGGTTCACACTTAAAAGATATTCAGCATAATCTTTTTTATTGCAAAGAGTTTTATGATTTCCAAGAGCTCCTCCGACTACATCTCCTGTTGGGTCTCCCAGCCTCATGATAGGAGTCCCCTGAACAGCTTACCTGCCAAGAAAGTAAGGAAGGGAACAAGTACAATAAACATGCAAGAAATCTGGTAGCCATTCTGAGAGCTCGGATTGTTAATATTAAGGATTTTAATAATAGGTACATATGTGCATGAACATCCTCAGTGTACTTAGTTTTATATATGAGACAGTGTGGTATAGTAGGAACATTACAAGATTTTAAAACCTGCACATTTTCCTAGAATCACTGCCTTTCCACCTATTACCTTCATGTCCTAATACAAGTGATTTAACTACCCCGTACTGCAGTTTCCTAAAATGTAAAGTAGCAATCAAGTCTCACAACATCACAATGAAAGTGTTCTATGGTTCCTGGCACTGATGAATCTCATACGACAGAACAACCAGTTCCCACTGCAGTCAGCAGTGGGAACCACGGACCCGTCCTTGTCCTGGGAAATATGTGACACCTTGTATACGATCTGCAGTGGCAGGAGCTTCTCTGTGATGCTGATATTTCACTGACAAGGACATTAAACTCAGAGAAGCTGGTAAATGGACCTAAGGTGACAAAGGCTGTAAAACTCAAGTTCAAACTTAGACTTTCTGACTCCAAATACTCTGCTCCTCCCAAGCCACCATGGGAACCGGGAGACCCCGCTGAACTACATGCAGTGCAATGATTTGTGTTTTGTAGGCGCATATTAGAGATTTGTTGAAAAGTCAATGATGAAGTCCCCTGAAATTAAATATTTTAACGGTACATTTAGGAACCATCACAATTCAGGAGTTGTACCTGGCACATTAACAACCTGCAGAACCTCTTTCCCAGTTTCACCTAGAATTTCTTCTGGCTCCCCTCCCTTTCCTGCAGCCCCTCTAGGCATCGCAGATCCCTGCAGCACCCCCAGCTCTGCTCCTTGCCCCGGAGCCCATTTCCTCCAGTTCGCTCTCCGTGGAGATGAAAAGCAGCTGGTCTCCATCCTCTGTACATTAACACTTCATTTTCTGAAGGCCACTGTTACTCCCTCACACACCCACACTCCTCACTTGGCTTTTATCTGCCTCGACTGAAAAGTCTTCCAAGCTAAACAGTCATTTCTTTCACAACTAAAATGTGGACACTGTGGTGTAATGAGGCAATTATAATTTCGAAAAGTAGAAGGCTTTCCTGGATGGAATCCACATCTCAGAAGTTGTCCCCGGTGTAGATATGGGAAACGTTTTGAGTAAAATTATTTTGAAAACTACCACTCTGACATCTAGGGGAACAACCACTCTCAAGTAAAGCACTTCTCTATCATTCTCATCTTCTCATCAGAATGGAGAAAGAATGGGAACATTCCTTTTACTTAGGGGCATATGGAGGGAAAAAATGTTCTGACATTTAATTTTCAGCAGTAAGTAATAATCTCTCACTATAGGAATAAATTGAAGGTGAAAAGCAGGGTGAGCCCCTCAGTCCTCCAGGAAGTAATCATTACTCTATGGAAAGCCAGTAATCATTACTCTGTGTGCAAAACCCAATAGCATGGCAACCTTTCCACTGTGGCACTGGGCCAGACCCCCAAACAATGAGAGATTAGCAGAGGAAATGGCAGTGTAGCTATGTTAGCACACCCCAAAGGGGCTGGAGAGGTATTTATAGGAGAGAGAAGACGAGATCCTTGAGTCAAAGATGGGGGTGTTTTTGTATTTAGTACCAGCTCACTTAATGATGCTCCTCTGGTTGTAAGTCAGTGTAATTCCTTCAGCTTGTTCTTTTGGAAATGTGTAGAAAGTTGAGAGATGCTGTAAGTGGTCACTAAGTCATCTTTGGAGACAGTGTCCAAAGGTAAAAGCCTGCCACCAATCTGCTTTAAGAGTCAGGGCAGTAGAGAAGATGTGATAACATTCTCTGCCAGTTTATTCTGGGGCTTGAACCAACTTCTTCCAGGGTCCAAACTGCAGTTAAAATTTTCTTTTATCATACAGTTAGGAGATAGCCACAGTTGATTCTAGGGAGTAAGAAGAAAGATGACTCAGTGGAATAAAATTGTGGTACCTTCTGTTGCTAAAGAAAATTAAACACAAATTACACATCTTCTGAGTTCTAACATCTGCCAACACAGTCATCAGATGTGCAGGGATTTAGAGCTTCCTGTACTGTGAATTGAATCTCGATTATTGAAAAAAGTTGACATAAAGAGAGGTAACAGCAAGAATCCCTTCCAGCCATCAGGACCTCGCCGAGCTGCAGCTTGGGCAGGCTGTGCACTTTGGTCTGGTGCTTGTTGCATCTCAGTGTGCCCGGGCTCTTCTGTAAGTCATTAACACCCTTGTTCACTGGGTCAAGGCGGGGCCTGAGAATCCCCACGTCTAGCCAGTTCCCAGGAGAAGCTGCTTCAACCCTCAGCCCAGCTTCTAGCTCACACTGTGTGCCCTTCGCCATCATGGATCCTGATGGAATGCAGCCAAGAGAACCGTGGAGGAAGGCAGCATGGGACAGGCCTGCGTGCCACATGCCTTGCTGTGGCGAGCACACGAATCCCCAGAGAAGCCAGTCCTCCCCTCCTGCTCTCTCTGCTCCCCGAGAGCCACCAATGCCATAATCCCAGTGGATACACAATCACCCACCACTCATAGCTCCAACCCACCATGGGTCTAAAATAATTAAAAATCTCAACTGTACTCAAAATGTACAAACATTTTTCCTGTCATTATTTCCTAAGTAATGTAATATAACAATTATTTACATTAATTTATGCTGCACTAAGTATTAAATAATTTAAAGATGGTTTAAAGTGTACAGATGTTCCTAGGTTATATAAATACCATTACATTTTACCTGAGGAGCCTGAGCAACCTTGGATTTTAGAATCCAAAGATGCTAGAACCAGTTTCCATAGCTACCAAAGGATCCTGGAACAGTCTGACTGAGCTGTGACTTGGTTGTATGATTTTCACTTCAATTTTTCTTGTGCTGATATTTTACTGACGCTTCACTCACCTTTGAGGGGGTCCAGAAGTAAGTTTTCTGGTCCACTAACACCAGGGAGACTACCTCTGCTCAGCTCTCCACAGGGAAGCAGCTAAGTAACATTGTTCTCCAGCTCTGGAGGACCACCCACAACAGTGACCAGAGGCTCGGACCATAATGGAATCACTGCAGAGGAGACCACGTTCATCTACTGGCACTGCACTGGCCAGTGGCTACCACTGCCCGCCTCACATATCGGGGTTTCTGTAGGTCCTGCTGCTCTTCTGAAGTATCACCCCTGTCACCTCATAGGCTTCTCCCAGGAGATTTTGTGACCATCATGGGCACTCCAGCAGCTTAGAGTTTTCCTACATGATTATCTACTTAAAATGTTTGCTGGTTTACTAAGTGGAAATTGTCTGATATATTTTTCTCCAACTCTCATGGTATTTTTATTCATGTTCTCAATTTTACTTTTTATTATTTAGGAAAGTTTATATGCAATCGTGAATAAAGATTCTTAGCAGCAAATCACCTCCAAGTTGATGGCAATATGTAATATTTTCTCTCTTGTATTATTCCTTATCTCATAACACCTAAATTAACCCAAAATATAGTAAAAGGATAATAATTACATTTATTTATTCATTTATTTGGTACCAGGGATCAAACTCACAACCTTGAGCTTGCCAGGCAGGCTCTTATACCACTGAGCTAAATCCCCAGCCCCAAAAATTACATTTAATATTACTTTATTTTCTAAGGGTATTACTGAATACATAATATGCTAATCTATACATAAAAGTTTATCACATGATATGTGTATGCGTGTATGTTTTTGACTAAATGATGGACTTCTCTCTTTCTTACGTTACAACAAATTTTGGTGGTGAAGAGATGTCACTTGTTGCTAATGTATTGACTGCATTGTACAATTAGTTGCACCATTGTGGATGCTTGGTATCCTGAGTCAGTTCAAAATGATTACCCCTCATGGTCTTTTTGACTTTGATGAAGACAAAGAAGTCACACAGTATCAAT